CAAAATACATGAAGAGAAATCCGAAGCATTCAAACATCCCAAAGTCTAAATTAATACATAGGATTATGATGATTATCGAGGGGCATTTCACTCCAAAAAAGCGTACAGGATTTTCGGATTTTTAAAAATCCGCGGATTTTTTAGCGGATTTTCCTGGATTTTTTAGTGGATTTTTGAAGAGAAAATCTGTTGGATTTTCCGGATTTGGTGGATTTTCCGGATTTGTTCCAATTTTTTTCCGGATTTTTTGACGAAGCGTCCGGGATTTTCGGATTTTTAAAAATCCGCAGATTTTTTAGCGGATTTTTCCCGGATTTTTGAAGAGAAAATCTGTTGGATTTTCCGGATTTGTTTGGATTTTTTCCGGATTTTTTGATGAAGTGTACAGGATTTTTGGAGTGAAATGCCCCTCGATGATTATATCTACCATTATAAAATTCAACACAACCTAGAACTTGGCCTCTAGATTCAGTCAAATTTGTTGAGCAATCATGGAATATAGTTGAAGTTTTACTATTTTAAACACAAATATACAACAAACTGTTCAAAGCCAAAAGGCTACTTGTGGAAACCAGACTACTAGTATTAATCGAAGCTCGAAAACACACTGGAAGCGGCTGTAAATATAAAAAAATAGAGCGTAGATTATGGTATATATGGAATAAAAGATACTAACCTTTCTTATATAGCGTTGAAATTTTCATTTAATCGCCGTTTCATCTTGAAACTTAACTCGTTTCGGCACAGATATAAAGCCATTTTGGATTTAGAATGATTTTTTTTCACTCAGCAAACTGGTCATATTTACAATAATTTTGGGCTAAAATCCTCAGATACCTTTGAAAAACCACGAAACCATCTTCATTGTGTCTTGCATCATACTTTTGAATTGTTTTAGCCACAAATACTAAAGTTTTTTTTAGGTTTTTGAAGCAAAAACTGCGGTTTCTTGTTCGAAAACTCTTTACGCTCCGAATCTGTGGTTTTACAGATAAAAGCTGCGACGTGATTGGTCATTTTTCCCGCCCAAAACTTCCAGCCTGCAGATCGGGTGAAAATAAGGCGGATTGATTGAAGGGGGGTTGGGGGCCATGGGGGGGGGGGCAATGGTTGTTGAAAAAGCACAAAAGTTTCAGAAATATATAACTATACATTAGATACGTTGGGAAAAAAGTATAATAAATAATAAATATAAAAAGTATAATGAATTATTTTTTGTTTATGGGTAGTGACTACCTCGTGTATATGAAACTTTCGACTACGAAAAATAGGTGCAAATCTACGCAGAATTGCTTGAACCAGGGACCGTGGAGCATAAGGAGGGAATACTTCTGGAAAATTTGAGGCTTGAAAATGGCATTTCTTGGACAATCTGGTACCAAATTTAATAACCATGGACAAAATGGAGCTAGAATTGCTTTATAATTGGATTTGGTGGGGAGCTAAAATCGCTGGAAATTTCAGCATAGACTGTAGTCGATTTACGGCTGGTGATGGAGTTCAAAATGCTCATGCTTTTTATCCAAGACATAAAGGACTAAGGGTGACTTAATCCCCTTTGAAGATTGCGAAGGGTGCTGACGCCCCCGCCCATTTTCAGTTCACTTAAGGAATATTTGATTCACCCCAATGTTGGTAATGTTGTCCACCTTGCCTCACATTCTGTATTACTCAAATCAGTAATTTGAAGGCGATGTTTGCTTTGTGCTAAAGGGCCCCCGGCTTAACAGGAATACGCCTAGGCGCCTGGCCCTGCCCATCTAAAGTGACAACAGGAGGGGGGGGGGCTACGACAAAAAATGCAAATTTACAGACATACATCATCTAATTCGACACTTTGTCATCCTTGTTCAAGCACGCCTAACTGCGAATATGCGAATGCATGCGAATGTAGTGTTACATTTGCTACTTGCAGCATATGCGAATGCATGCGAATCTGGTATTACATTTGCTACGTACATTTCAGTACGCAAATGTATATGCCAATTTGTTGCGAATTTATTTCTTCTTTATCACCCAACTCTCAAGGTTATGAATCCCGCATGCCGCAAGGTAATATAGCATCTATCGGTGCATCTATACACGCTAGGGGCCATTGACGGTCCATTGACGGTTTAGGGGCCAATAGACTGCTAGACCATTGTCAGGTTTTACAGATTTAAAATCGTTTTTATTTTCTATGAAGACCCATATATATTTGACCCCATATAGATTATTAATGTTTTAAGCCTGGTTCACATATCCCTGCAGCATGCCTGCGACTGTATCATTATGCCTCTACTTGCCGCCGAAATACCGGCAAAGTTGAACTCAAGTCAATTTTCCCGGCCTACCGCCGATGTAACTGTGACACTGGAGGCAATCAGCGAACAAATGTTCACATAATTTACGTTTTAAAGCTACCATCTGTATCGTCGTCGGTACATCGCATGAACATATGTGAACCAGGTTTTATATGTAGCTATAAATTACAATAATTATTACATTTGAAAGATATACCGTAAACCCGCCGACTATAGCCCCCCCCATCCCCCGAATATAAGCTCCCCCGTGTATAAGCCCACCACATGTACAAACGCTCACCTCATTCTAAATATAAGCCCCCTCCCCTCACCGAATATAAGCCGACCCGAATATAAGTCCCCCAATTAATGTAAACCCAGTAATCGCTGCTTAATACACATTTATTTCCCTGTTTATGACTGACTTGTTTATTACTAACACAAAAGATCTATGTATAAGCCCACCCGTATATAAGCCCCCCCCCCCTTGTATATAAGCCCATCAAAAATAGCTTACAAAAGTATATAAGCCCTCGGCTTATAGTTGGAGATTTACAGTACTGTAATTCTTGACGTGACTGCCACGTTTACACGCCGATAATGACAGGGTGTTACTAGAAAGGAAACATTTCCGCAAAGATTTTCTTGGACATATGCATGCATGGTTGTGTATTTAATTTTTCACCCTGTGTGACAATCCTTGTATTTGCACTAGTGCGAATGAATGCAAATCTAGTGTTATATTTGCTACGTACATTTCAGTGCGCAAATGTATATGCCAATATGTTGCGAATTTACAAGTCACAATCTTTGTCTTTGCACTAATGCGAGTGCATTCGAATATAGTGTTATATTTGCTACGTACATTTCAGTACGCAACTGTACATGCCAATTTGTTGCGAATTTACAAATGACAATCGTTGTCTTTGCACTAATGCGAATGCATTCGAATCTAGTGTTATATTTGCTACGTACATTTCAGTACGCAAATAGTTTATATGCCAATTTGTTGCGAATTTACAAATGACAATCGTTGTCTTTGCACTAATGTGAATGCATTCAAATCTAGTGGTATATTTGCTACGTACATTTCAGTACGCAAATAGTTTATATGCCAATTTGTTGTGAATTTACAAATGACAATCGTTGTCTTTGCACTAATGCAAATGCATTCGAATCTAGTGTTATATTTGCTATGTACATTTCAGTACGCAAATGTATATGCCAATTTGTTGCGAATTTTAAATATTTCTTGTTTGTCAGTCAAGTTTATGAATGTTATAAAACATAACGACGATTTAACTTATATATAAGCCCATTGTCGGGTTTATTTTCCTAATTTAAAATCTTTTAGATTTCTATGATGACCAAGGGCAAAGCCGCCAAAATATTAATGGGGTCACGGGCAAAATATAACTAGTTAAGGCCCTCGAGAAAACGGCACAGATGATTAAAAAAGGTCCAGACACACAGATGCGATTTGAAAACGCGACGTATTTTAGTTTTTGAAACTTAATAAAACAGTCGATGAGAGCAAATTTTGAATGATATGTAGACCAAATAACTCCAAATGTTATAGCGAGTCTAAATATTTGGAAAATTTAAACTATAGGATCAAAGTTATTGGTCAGTGAAAATCAAAAAATTGCGTCGCGTTGTCGAATCGCGTCCGGTGAGCAGCTGCATTGAGGTTGCCGCACTCAAGCCCGACAAGAGCACCGAGACTACAGGGTGTATCAAAAAAAACTGAACAGATTTGAAATTGCTCTCAATTTCGCAAAACACCTATTTGTATCTGTTTTTTTATATATATAGCTTCTTTGGGTACTTATAATGTAAAATAATGAAAAAAATTTCTCGAACTCAAATTTTGTGAACCAGGGGGGTGTGTCTTTTCCAACAAACTAAAAATGGCTCGCGCACAAAATTTAAAAGCTCTAATAATATTTTGAGTCGATAGATTGAAAATTTGTCGGGTTTTTAATTACTGTACAAAATTTCAGACAATTTGGTTTAATTTAAGCCCTTTAACTATTCATTTTGTTCTAAAAAGTCAGCCTTTCGCATGCTTAATTAATGCCTTTACCTAATTTGCATATTGCTGACATATGCAAATTAGGCAAATGCATTAATTAAGCATGCAAATAGCTAATTTTTCGGGAAAATTGTAACTTTGCGTGAATAGTTAAGGGGCTTAAACTAAACCAAATTGTCTGAAATTTTGTACAGTAATTAAAATCCCGACAAATTTTCCATCTGTTAACTCAAAATATGATTGCAGCTTTTAAATTTTGTGCGCGAGCCATTTTTAGTTTGTTGGAAAAGACACACCCCCCTGGTTCACAAAATTTGAGTTCGAGAAATTTTTTTCATTATTTTACATTATAAGTACCCAAAGAAGCTATATATATAAAAAAACAGATACAAATAGCTGTTTTGCGAAATTGAGAGCAATTTTAAATCTGTTCAGTTTTTTTTTATACACCCTGTATATTATAATTGCCTCCCTCATCTGGCACGGTCGCGGTCTGTAGATATTTGCCTTGCCGAGTTTCTCCCGCAAAGATATTCTACGTTATTTCGAACCTCTAGTAAGCTATAGTTTTGACTGCCTTAAGATTTAAACTTCTCTGACTGATTGAAAGACGACATATAGCACTTATAGTGCTTTCTTATAAGAATATTATTTGAAAATATTCTTATGTTTTTAAAATTTAACTGTAAATATGTTTGCAGAATTGAAAAGGTCCGCGGAGCCGTTTCCATTCAAAAGACAGACAGTTTTACAAGCAAAAATAAAGTAAAATCTGTTTACTATATTTGCTTCATCTTTGCAGCTAGGTGCAAAGTTATTGCAAATTCTTTTATACATTTGCACTTCTGCAAAGATATTGGCAAATATGAAGTAAATATAGTGTGTTGCAAAGATGAATTCGCAACAGTTCCCAATTTAGTAAACTGAATTTGCACCACATTTGCCGCTGTTGCAAATTCGGTGCGAATCCAACTTTTCATCCCTTGTGAACCTGTGTGTTACCACCTGTGGAAAGTACTATACACTGTATAATAAACATTGCTTTATTATAAAGGTTAATTGCTTTATTATAAACATTGGTTTATTTTATACAGGAATTCATTGTATACGATGGCCAAATTAATAAATTAACCCTATATTAACGCCTATGATATCACTTAAGTATTTATATACTCCGGCTACGCCAGACAATTTTACTTGTCGAAGACAAAGAAAGACTTCCCTGCCGCTATGGAGTTAACACCACTTCTTATATCAACTCAAGGCTACCCCAAATCACAGACACTGTGAGAGCAAAGCAACCACTATTGTTCTAACAATGTTATACATCGTTAACTATATCTTTCTTTCTCTCCTCAGCCTTCAGTCAATAACTTTAGCGGTACGGCACTGATAAAGTGTTCCTTGCATAATCAATTAATAAACCATGATAAATATATCCGCATTCTACTGACTGCATGTATATCTTTAAATACAGATAGATGCAAAAGTTCCTTCCACCATTTTTTGTTGCATGCCATGTATGGCATGCAACTTTCATATAGCTCTAAATTTTGTGTCGTGTTCGGTGAGCGGTGAGCGTACCGGTCACGTGGCAGATTCGTAAAATGCGACAAATACCGAGCTTTTCCGACGAACATTTACGAACATATATATAGCATAATTAAGAACAACTGATCATGTGACGTGAAACCAAACTTCATGCACATTTTCGTCGATTCTTGGCCGAATATTTTACACAATCGAGCGCTTTTAGAAGACCTTAGAAGGTAGGTAAAGCTTTGCTGTTTTTAATTTACCTTATATTCTGTTATCTGTTGTGATTTTGGAGCCTTTGTGCTCGCACTGATTATTTATCAGGCGTTATTATATAGCGTGAAAGGCCACGCTATCAAAATACTCAACTTGAAACGGAGCCATTGTGCTCGCACTGATTATTTATCAGGCGCTATTTGCGTGAAAGGCCACGCACTCAAATTGAACCTTGCCACTGTGCAGGTAAAAAAAAGCAGCCCATTGCCATTGTGCTGGGATTATTGAGACTTTGCCATTGTGCAATTTTAAAAGAATTACAAATACAAACTGTCAAAGGCAACACTGAAAATACACAGTACACAACTTATTGACAATTTACTGTAACGAAACTATTTTATTCCAAACAGTGAGAATATCAAAATATGGGTGTGTCCATTGAGATATACAGACTAAGAATTGGTTCGCATAACAACTTTGTGCAAGCACGACAGTCCATGAATCAAATGAAAGGTAAATTTTGGAACCATATGTTAGTAATGTTCTACTTAGAAATATTTTATTTACCATGCTTGAAAAATCTAGTTACCAGGATTGAAAGTAATAATGAAGTTTGCATGTGGTATACACAAATGGTATCTTATCATGTTTATGTGCCATTGCTATTGAGGCTTGCAAATGATGTGGAGGAAAATCCAGGCCCAATTAATATCTATGATATTGTTGATCATAGTTTTACGGTTCAAGCAGACTTCAACCAAGGTAATATATCCATGTTTGGCATAAATGCTGGAAAACAATGTGTTGCCATGTCAATTTATGCTATTGTATACAATGAAATAAAATCTGTTAATATTTGGGATACACCACTTATGAACATGCTTCTAGTTAATGCAAACAATCTTTATGCCATAATTAGTCAGCACATTCAGAAAGATTTCTTGTTGCTCACTGATGTTCCTGAAATATTGTCTATCAACAATGATACTTTTAATTTGGAGTACAGTGACTCTTTTTCTGGAGCATTATGGATGGCTCGCAACAATGAACCGTATGTTACACTTGAACATGCCTTTCATGAAGTATTTAATACTGGTAATTATAAAGCATGTTTACTTACTATTCGAGCAAACACTGTTGCAGTTTTAATGCCTTTCCCAGATGTATTCAAAGTTTTTGATTCTCATTCACAAGATATGCATGGAATGCCAGCGGCAATGGGTTATAGTGTTTTAGTTTCTATTGAAGGAATTCAAAACCTTATAAGTTTTTTTCATAACAGTTGTAACTATCCTGGACAAAATAGCGAAAATAGTCTATTTGAATTGAAGGGTGTTAAATGTCATAGAAACATTTCATTGTCAAATAGTTTGGATAACGCAGCTAATGACACAACATCAAATAACCATGAACAACAAAGAAAACAACAAGAGTCTGTTGTAGAAAAAGAAAATGGACTAATTGCGAAGCGAAAGGAAAAAAGACAACAAGAGTCTGTTGTAGAGAGGGAAAACAGACTTGCAAAGCAAAGAGAGAAAAGAAAACAGGCAAAACAACAAGAAACTGTTTTAGAGAGGGAAAATAGACTTGCAAATCGAAGAGAGAAAAAAAAACAAGCAAAACAACAAGAACCGGTTGTAGAAAGAGAAAACAGACTTGCAAAGCTAAGAGAGAAGCAAAGAGAGAAAAGACAGCAAGAAACTGTTTCAGAGAGGGAAAATAGACTTGCAAAGCAAAGAGAGAAAAGAAAACAGGCAAAACAACAAGAAACTGTTTCAGAGAGGGAAAATAGGCTTCAAAACCAGCGAAAAGCAAGAAGGTTGAAAAGGCAAAATGAAACTGTCAAACAAAGAGAGCAACGATTAGCAAAAGCAAGAGCTAATTATAAGGAAAATAAAAGTAGACATTCTGGAAAAAACAAACAATGTCCTGCATCAGGTTCTCAAGGGCATCTCAATAATGATAACAGTATATCACATAATAGTGTATCACAATTGATACATAAATTCCATAAATCTGTATCAACAGGTCCTCTGTATATATGTTCATGCTGTGATCAATTATGGTATAAACATAGTGTTTGTCCTGCTGAGAGACTTCGATTGTCCAATCCAAATTCTGCTAAACATCTACAAGGTATTAAAAGTGTGGATAATATTGAATGGCTGTGTTTGATGTGTGACAAACATCTGAAAAAGGATAAAGTGCCACCATCTGCAATTTCAAATGGCTTGAAGTTTCCAGAAAAACCTGACTTCTTTGATTTAAATGAATTAGAATGCAGGCTTATAGCTCCAAGATTGGCATTTCAAAAAATAATGCAAGCTCCGAGAGGACGGCAACTTAAAATTACTGGTAATGTTGTGAATGTACCAGCAGACATATGTAATACCGTTAACATGCTACCCAGGTTACCACAAGATACTGGGACTATTAAAGTTAAATTAAAACGTCGACTGCAATATAAGAGTTCTCCCTTGTCTTTGAATGTGAGACCTAATAAAGTGATGCAAGCTGCAGCTTGGTTGGTAAATACTAGTGAACTATATCGAGAACAAGGAATAACTTTTGATCAGCATTGGTTATCGTACTTTGATGTTACAACACCTAGTGACAATGAAAATACTACAGTTGATCAAAGTAATTCGACATCTTCAGAAGATGGAGTGAAGATGAATGGAGTGAAGACGAAGCAGAAATTCCTGCAGGTGTAACAGACAGTATGCTTACACCTACTGATTTTGTAGACGATACTGAAAGACAACATATATACAATGTTGCACCTGGTGAAGGTAGTAGACCACTTAGTATATTTAGAGATCAGTATTCAGAGGAACTAGCTTATCCAGGAATATTCCTGGGTCAAAGGCGACCAGATGAGAAGCAAAGATTGACTCGTGTTTACTACAGTGAGATATGCAAATCTGAACTAAGACGGTCTGATAGAAGAGCTGCAATGTGTATTGAGAACATATTTTTTAAAACTAAAAAAATGCAGTTGAAATTATTGCTAGGGCAATCTCAACTTGCTATTCGCAAGTGTAAAATGGGAAACAGAACACTTACTGCTGGTGAGTTAAAAACACCAGAAGGTTTAACAAATCTCATTTGCCATGATGAAGGATACAAATTTTTAAGAGCTTTGAGAGGTTCCCACCTTACTTTGAAAAAGCCAAAAAAGATTTGTTTGCTATGATTCAGCAGTTAGGACCCGCATCATTATTTTGTAGTTTTTCATCTGCTGAAACAAAATGGAATCATAAACTAAGAATCCTTGGTAAGCTTGTTGATCACAAAGATTATAGTGATGAAGAATTGGATAATTTAAATTGGGATGAAAAGTGTAGACTAATTCAAAGTGACCCAGTAACTTGTGCAAGGCATTTTGATTACCAATTTAATGCTTTCTTAAAAGATTTTTTAATGAGTGAAATTGCCCCATTAGGGAAATTAAAAGATTGGTTTTACAGGGTTGAATACCAACAGAGAGGCTTGCCTCACATCCATATGCTCATATGGCTTGAAAATGCACCTGTATTTGGTGTTGATAAAGATGAAGATGTAGTTAATTTCATTGACCAAATAATAACTTGTAGAAAGCCTGATAATGACACTGAATTATTTGATCTTGTAAACAGACAAACTCATAGACATTCTCACACATGCCGAAAAAAACCCAAAAAACTTTGTAGATTTAATTATCCTCAGCTACCCATGAGATCAACACAGATACTTCATCCACTTGATGACAATACTTCTGACACTGTCATAAGAGCCAGAAAAGAGTTGTGGAAAAATATTAAGAATAAACTAAATGATTTAAAAGAGGGAGAAGACGTAACATTTGATCAACTTCTGAAAGAACTAGATGTTTCAGAATATCAATATATTCTTGCAATTCGATCATCACTAAATTGTCCAACAATATTTCTAAAAAGAAGTCCCAATGAATTAAGGATTAATAATTATAATCCTGCTTGCCTCCAAGCGTGGAGAGCAAATATGGATATTCAATTTGTGCTGGATGTATATGCCTGTGCAATGTATATTGTTTCCTATATTTCTAAAGCACAAAAAGGAATGAGTGACTTGTTACGTAACGCATGTGCTGAAGCTAAGGAAGGTAATTCCACCATCAAACAACAGGTTCGTGACATTGGCAACAAGTTTTTAAACTCTGTTGAAATAAGTGCACAAGAAGCAGTGTACATCATTCTGCAACTTCCCATGAGAAAATCTTCTCGAAATGTTGTATTCATTAACACCTCTCCTCCAAATGATCGTGTTGAACTGTTGAAACCTCTCAGTGAGATTGAGAAGATGTCAGATGAGTCTGAAGAAATTCACTCTGGTGGACTTCTGAAACGATATGTAGAACGACCAGACAGTTTAAATAATATTACATTAGCTGACTGGGCAGCATGGTACAACTCATCTGGGCTGACCAAATATAAGAAATCTGTTAAAAAATCAGATATTGACAACCTTCCTTTGGAAGATGAAGATGAAAATAATGATGATGACCTAGGTGTTCAAAACACTGAAAGTTGTGTTTCATCTAAAAAGTCGATCAAAAAAAGGTCTCATGCAAGAATTATCCGCAGTGTTTGGTTTAACAAAGAATCTCAACCAGAAAAACATTATCGTGAGTTGATCATGCTTTTCGCTCGATGGCGAAATGAACAGGCTGATTTAATGGGAGCTTACTCTTCCTTTCAAGAACATTACGAAGCTCGTCGTGATGAGATCAGTGAACAAATGCAACAATACGCGGTTTGTAGTGAAGACTTAAATGAAATTCAACATCACTTACAAGAATGTGATGATGATGCGTATGACACAATAGCACCAGCTACACAAGACACTGAACGTCGGGATGAGAACGAAGGTAATACAGATACACATCCAGATTTAAATGAAACGTATGATGTTTCTGAAGACTTGGGTATCCCATCAAGGTTACCTAATAATGAACCACTTATTTTAAATGAAATGGAAGATAATGAATACCGACGTTTGGTCCAAATGCTAAACAAGAAACAAAGGGAATTTTTTTATCATGCTTTGCATTTAATGAAGATATCTGATAATCCATTTTATGCCTTTTTAAGTGGAAGTGGAGGGGTTGGTAAATCTCACTTAATTAAGTCAATTTATCAGGCTGCTTTAAAGCACTATAACAAACGAGCTGGCGAGACTTTCGTCGCGTTCAAGTATTATTGCTTGCTCCAACAGGAAAAGCAGCTTATCTAATTAAAGGAAACACAATCCATAGTGCCTTATCAATTCCAGCGAGCCAATCGCTTAAAATTTATAAACCACTGGACTCTGGTAGGTTGAACACTTTACGATGTGAGCTGGGTGCATTAAAGTTGATATTACTTGATGAAATATCAATGGTTGGAAACAGCATGTTTACAGTTCAGTTAAATAACCGTTTAAAAGATTTAAAAGGAAGCAAAGACGACTTTGGTGGTGTTAGCATCATCACAATCGGTGACTTATTTCAATTTAAACCTGTCATGGATGGCATTGATTATGAAGATGTCGGTAGAAAAACTCGTCAAGAAAACAGAACGCTTTATGTCAGAGGAGTTCAAAGCACATGGACACCAATTAAACCTATCACAACCCAATTTCCAGTTGGTAGAACGAAGTCTGCTCAAGTTGTTAGGAAACAGTTTCCATTGTGACCAGCATCAGCAAAAACTGTTCATAGATCACAAGGTGATACTCAAACACAAATTGTTGTAAACCTAAACAGCAACAGATCTTTTCCTCACATTCATTATGTTGCTTTAAGTCGTGTTACAACAATAGAAGGATTATACATCACTGACTTATGTGAAGACAAGATATCTGTTGATCAAAGAGTTGTCAAGGAAATGGAAATCTTAAGAACCGAACAAAGTTTGAATCTTTGTTTCAAACCACTTTATATGTTGGATCAATCTGATTTGAAAGTTTGTTACCTCAATGCAAGATCTTTGCATAAACACATTGAAGATGTTCGAAAAGATATTAATTATTCGTCTATTGATATTGTGATATTTACTGAAACAAGATTTAACTCCTCAGACACAGACGATATATACAACATTGATGGCTACAGGTTGTTCAGAAATGATGTTTCCCAAGGTACGGGTCCAGGACGTCCATACGGTGGAACAGCTGTTTATAGCCGAGTCCCTTTGAAAGAAGGATACCCTTATGCTCACAACGTCAATGGAATCGAGTTTACAATTATTAAAACAGAAAGTAATGCGCATCTGAATATAATTGGTGTATATCGTTCACCCAATATTGCTATATCACGTCTACTGTCTTCACTACGTAGTGTGCTTGATGAAGATTCTTCTGCACAAAACATTATAATTGGAGATTTCAATGTCAACTGGATGGTAGAATCTGATCGACAGTCACTGTACAATTTGATGGTTGTACAAAATCATTACAGGCAACTGATAAAAGGCTTTACAACCGACAACAGAACGTTAATTGATCATTTATACACAAATTTAATTGAAGAGGAAATTGAAGCTGGTATTCTAGAAACTTACTTTAGTGATCATAAAGCAATATGGGCTTCTCTTAGGACATAGAAATAATAATTATATACCATTCAATTAAGGTATTGCAAAGATAGCAAGAATTATGGCGTCAGGTGAAGGCGTTCTGATATGTGCTCTTGTAATTATCACGATTTTTACGGTTAATAAAGCCCAATTTATAAGCAGTGATTGCATTGGAATAATGATGAATGATTCTGCTGAGGTTGTATCTACAAACGAAACGCATACATACTCATCGCTGTGGAATATTCGAGCTTACTTTAGCATTTCATGTCGTAAGCAAAGAGTAAAGGCAATGATTTTCCTTCTACTATTGTGTGGTGATATTGAAACCTGTCCAGGTCCTTCGAATTGCTGTAATTGTCAGAAGATTATTAGAAGTAACCAAAGCAATATAAGTTGCAATGATTACAAAGGAAATCCCATCTGTGTCTGTTCTGAATGCTATGAATCCAATATGGCCTCCTCGGGAAATAACAATCAACTTGGAGAAGGTATGTCTGATGACCCACCAGCCTTAGAGGAACTACTTAACCTTGTTAGTTCAAAGGGAATAAAGTTATTACACCAGAATATCTGTGGTTTGGCTACAAAATATCCACACATCGAATTTATTCTCAAAAACTATAAGGATATTCATATGTTTACTTTGAGTGAAACGCATTTGCATGAAGAAAATATTCAATTATTGCCGAGTATTCCTGGGTATTCAATGGTCTATAGAAATCGGACAAATGGAAACTTTGGTGGTGTTGCTGCTTTTATAGCAGACCGAGTTCAATGGCTGAGAAGACATGATTTAGAAAGTCCCCATTTGGAATGTCTGTGGATTGAAGTTTTACTCAAGAATACCAAAGGTTTCTTGATTGGGACTCTCTATAGGCCTCCAAATGGTTCAAAGTTTTTATCAAAAGATTTCCCTGCCTATTTTGATGATATGCTAACGTCAGTAGCAGCCGAGAATAAAGAAGTGATTCTAATGGGTGATATAAACTGCAATTTCTTAAAGAAAAGCAATGATGCAGACATTAAATCTATAATAGATGTTAATGGTTTAGAACAAATGGTTAAAGATCCCACGAGAATTACTCCTGAGTCTTCGACACTAATTGATGTCATCTGTACAAACAAGCCCCAGAATATTAGTAAGGTTGAAGTAATATCTGCAAGCTTGAGTAACCATGAAATGATCGGCTGTGTGCGTAAACTAAACAACCATTCATTTAAAGCCCG